GGGGGGATTCTAGAAGTATTCCTTATTGGACTGACTACAGGGCTGAAAGATGAAAGAATTGTTGCCAAATAATGATTTCCATATGCAACTTAAATGTTATCGTATCAAAAAACTCAAACATCAAATGCAAGTATCAGAAGTCGATTGTAACACATTGCAGAATATACCCCTGGAAACAAGTTATCTCCATCTCCAGAATGGCCCAAGCGACACAAACAGTGAACTAGCTAAAAATATCTATCAAAACATGTTTCTTCCTTGAGAGGCATAGTGTTCAACTAAATAATTAAAATATTAGCTTGGTTAATTCCATTCCTTAGTTAAATTTATTTGGCTAAATCAGTTAACAAATAATACTCAATTTCACAAGGGTTTTCTAAACAAAGAAGTAAGAGTGTAAAATAACCCAATGCCATCTAATCTAGACCCTCTGAGCACCAAAGGTCTTAGCAATTCTCAAACAAGATCATCAAACAGAAGAAAGATAATAACACCGCAATAAGGTTTTTCCAACCTGACAGAGAGGATTTTCTTAAGAAAATAATCCCAAGAAAACCTTTACTCACTCGTTTTACTTGCCATTTTTACCAATAGGGTACAAGTTTCATTTACAATTCAAGGAGTTCATATAATATGATCCCATTAACATTTATATACATCACAATACAATCAATTCAAACCAAATTACAAACTACAATGTAACAACATAAATTTAGAAAACAGAAGACTGAACCCCAGCCTGGGATCAAGGGTACCACAACCAGGACAAGGCTTCATTTGTTTACTCTTTTTCTTAAATGCTTGAATAATATCCACTGATCATATAAACAAACACTCATAAAAATCCTCTCTCAACTACCAATTGTGATTAAAGTTCCAAAAACCCCCCACCCCCAAATATTAAAAATAAAAAGAAAAAAAATCAAATACGACAATACTTCAAACAAATCCGAATTCCAAATAAAGTTAGATTAACAACTAAACCATTCTAAATAGCTTCTTTGCAGTAGCAGCAAATAATTGTGTATTCTATCATTCATTTTTCCTTCAAATAAAACCCATGAGCAAACTGATTCTGAACACTTCATCGAGCTGTTTTGCTTATCTTCACAGCATATAGCCACTAAATTCTAAAGACAATCATTACCCATGAGAAACCCATGAGCAAACTATCAGTATAGATAAAAATACAAACAAAAACCCCAAAAAGGAAAAAAGTAGAATTGAATTGAAAAGGGGGAAATTTTGGCGGAAAACGATACCTCGATTTCAGTTTCCTGAACCTGCTCCTTCGATTCGGCTGTTTCGGTTTCTCCCCCAGTTGCAGCTAAAGATACCAACTTTACGAACCGGAAAGAGGGCGCGGAGTCCAATCGGAGAGAGCTCCTGCGAGGAATTCCAGTGGAATGGATTCTGTGTCTGAAGGAGACACAAAATGGTTTTGGAGATTTCAAGGAAATGGGAGTCGGACGCCAACCTAGAGGAGGCGCTTTCAGAGGCGGCGTTTTAAGTAGAGTAGCCATGGGTAGAGTTCCGAGGGGGAGAGCAGTGGCAGAGGAAGAGAGTCCGAGAAAGCTGCGGGCAGAAGGAGGAGAAAGAGTGGGTGAGGGATAAAGGGGAGAGAGTGGGGTTTGATTTTGACCGTTGGATGGTGTTTCAGTATTAAAACCGGACGGTTGTTAGGAAGTATTAAGAAAATTCTAGAGCTTATTATTATAGTGAAGAGGTGGAAATTCTTTTTCTTTTTCCTTTTTTTATTTTTTTTGTTCCCTTCTCAATCCACTAATTAAGCCTCACAATTAACAACTACCCGAATGTTAAAGTATACATTTAATCTCTTATTTTAATAAATTTAAAGTTTTTAATTCTTTAGTTTATATTATAAAGTTTTAACTCTTGAATTTGTTGGAAGATTTTAACCTCTAAATTAACAAAATCTCTTAAAATAAAAATAAAATATTTAGAAAATTAGTTTTCGAAAATTAAAAAAATAATAATTTAACTCTAAAAGTTTAAAAATAAAAAAAATTAATAAACTAAAAGGAATTAATAGATAACTTTTCACATATACTAGAATAGTTTTAGATAACTATAATAAATTGAGTAATTAATTCAATTTAATAAAAGAATTCTAATTGAAACTAAAGAAAATTTCTTAATTGAGTTAAAATAGAAAATTTAAGAGATTAGAAGAGTAGAGCCAAGAAATTTTTTTTAATGCCAATTAGATTTAAAAAAAAATTGAGTTAATCACTTAATTTAATTATAGATACCTAATATTAATATTGTGTATGTAGCAAAGTCATTCATTAATTATTTTAAATTTATTAATTTTTTTAATTTTTAATTTTTTGAATTAAATTGTTATATTTTTAATCTTTAAAAAATAATTCTATAAATATTTTATTTTTACTTTAATATAGAGTTAACAGTTTTTTGTTAGTCTAAGGATTAAAATATTCAAACCTTTTAAGTTTAGCTAAAAATTTTAGTGTGAGGTGGAGACTAAAAACTTCAAACTTATTAAAATGAGGGACTACATGTGTATTTTAGCCCTACTCCAAGTATCCAATAATTAACAAGGGTAAGGCAAGAAAATTAAGAGTATGTTTGGATCAAAGTAAATAGAGAAACGGTGTGGGAAATAGCCAAGCTGTAAATAGATACAATCAAAGTCATGCCATTGAGTGTAATGTACCTTTAAAGTGTACTGAATACACTTTTCTCTCTCTATATATTGCTTTCTGTTTTGGGTGTAACAAATACTATCTTAAGCATTAGAGTGTATCCTTAAGGCTTACCCTCAAGTCCTTGTAGGTTATCTCAAGTCAATCACATTGGAGCACAAGCAAAAACTTCTTGAGCTAAGTATTACAATTACAAGAAATAGTATTCAAATCCTTGTAGGTTATATCAAGTCGATCACATTGGAGCACAAGCAAAAACTTCTTGAGCTAAGTATTACAATTACAAGAAATAGTAGTCAAATCCTTGTAGTTTATATCAAGTCAATCACATTGGAGCACAAGCAAAAACATCTTGAGCTAAGTATTACAATTACAAGAAATAGTATTCAAAGACCTTTGGCCAATTTCTCCTTAACCAAAAAGAAGGAAATTATGGTTCCATAATTCCTTTGGATAAATTTTAGATGTGTTTTGACCATGGACGTAGTCATGTAGTTTGGGATGAATATCAGAGAGGCTGACAAGGAGGTCTTGAGTGGATGGGATAAGGGTGGAACCAACTTGTTTAGGTGAGTAGGGCCTTTTCAGGTTTTGCCCAGTTTCTAACAATGGTCACGTCGCATTTGAACAACTTACGTCTTCCTTCAAATTGATCAAATTATGATAAATTAAGGAAGGAAAAAACTTACTTTAAGATAATATAATTCTTTTTCATATTCTCTGATTAATCCTAATTTCTTTATTACGAAAGCTTGTACCTATGGCTTTCCTATGGCAGGGGGGATTAAAATTTTTTGTTCATACCTCCCCCTTATTCTCAAATTCCACCTCAACCAATTCAAGATTCCAATAAGATATTTTCAAACTAAAACCTCAAGTTTTAATCCAATTGAACCACCTTTTTGAAGTATTTATTATTATTATTAATTTTACTTATATCTTGAATGTAAGAAGAAATTTTACAGAAGGGTTTTGATGAAGAGAGACAATGGAGCTAAAATTGAGAGTGTCATGATATCTACAAACATGCTCATAAATGCACTTAAAAGCAAAATGCAATTTCTTGCTTTAGGAATAATTGCTTCACCCAATTTTCTATTGCCCCAATACACCATCTCTACTGCATGCTCAATAGTCTACTACTCCATTAATGCACCAAGTACAAGTAGCCATTTCATTAAGTGCTTTCACACCAAAATCGGTTTCTTTATTTCCACTACTGAAAAAGGCAAATTTTCAGACTGATGTATCGTTCTAAAAAAGATAGAAAATGGTCTGGTGATATATATTCATATCAATATTGGTCTAAAAAGTGAACCAAAAAAACTTAGTTTGAAACAATTTTTATTTAGACCAACAATATATCGGTTTGAATATTTATTTTTTCAGATTGATATTGATCTGAATAATTAAGACAAGGGCACTATATATTGACTAATATATTCTATGGAATAATAAAATATTAGGCCAAACCAGACCAATATCGATTTGAATAAATATGGACTCATCTGTAAAATATGAAAAGTATCATCCTTATATTGAGGATTTTGCAAAGTGTTATTTAAACCGTTAATGGTTCGGATTATTGTGTACTAAATTGTTAAAATAGAAAGATGGGAGGTTTTATTGTGAAGCCTTTGATAGTTATTCTAGACCATTATCAATCTGAAATATATGCCTTTAGTGTAATATATATATATACATATATAGGGGAAAGTGGGCGTCAGTCCCACCTCCCAAAAAAAATTGGAGTCCCAACTAAACGGTATCGTTTTCCTCTCAAAAACCTAACCCTACTGTTCATCTTTTCTCTCAAAAATCTAACCCCTGCTCCTCACCTCCTCCAACAATCATCCCCATCTCCTTCTTTGTCCCTTTTGCAATCATCTCCATTGCCTCCTCACCTCCTCGACTCTGCCTCTGCAAAATATAATAAACCCCACAATCTCTCGTAGCCAAGAAGGTAACAAAAAAAGAAAATGAAAATCCAATCTTCTGATTGGAATAATATTGATAAGTAAATAAGAAAAGAATAAAAGTATATCCAAAATTTGTATGAAAATGAGAGGAAACGAGCACGATTTAAAATAAATTAACAAACCCAGATTTGGGTTTCCAAAATCTATATGGAAATGAGAGGAAATGAAGAAAGCAACCATGGCTAGACCATTCAAAAACAAACCTGGAAAAGAAAATAAATTCTGCAACATATTTGAAGACAACAAACCCAGATCTCGGTTTCCTCTATTATAACTAAAATTGCAATTTCAATTCCCATCATTCAACTTCAACACTATTATAACCAAAATCATAGCAATCAAACTTGCAAAACCCAAATAAATTGGTTCGCAACTCCTTCAAGCTCGTGTGATAAAGGAACACAAATCTCAATTTCTTTTGTTCTATGGCACTTCAAGCTCGTTAGGAGGTGTGGTTATGTCTCTTGGCTTCTAATCGCCTCAACCTCACATGAGGTAAAAGGGGGAAAGGGAGAGTTGGAGATGATTGCAAAGGCGGCGACATTACTAGTGGGTTTTTTGAGTGAAAAATTGAAGGAATCGGAGGAGGCGAGAAGCAGGGGCTGGATTTTTAAGAGAAAAGATGAACAGCAGGGTTGGGTTTTTGAGAGGAAAATGACGCCATTTGGTTTGGGACTCTAATTTTTTTTGAGAGGTAGGACTGATGCCCACTTTCCTTATATATATTTTATTTAAAAATTATATAATATGCTTAAAAATATCTAAAAATATATATATGCTATTATTATCATAAAATTACATAAACTTGAAATATTTAATAAAATTATATAAAATTGAATAAATAACAAAAAATTAAGGTATATAAATATTACAAATCACATAAATATATAGCTAAACAAGAGATATAAATTTAATGATTAATATAATGAAAAACAAATATAAACAGTAAATTTTGCATCAAAAGAAAATTAATTAATTAACAATTCATTTTTCCAATTTTAGAGTGCAACTTTGATCATTTCCTACAAACAAAAAGAAAAAAGGAAAAAAAGAAAAGAAAAAGATAAATGGATATAAAAAAAATTTCACAAAATATGAAAAAAAATAAATAAACACCTAGTTTTACTCATTTTAGATTCTTATTTTCATCATTTCCTACAAAAAAAAAAAAAAAAAGAAGAATGGTAACTGTAGATTGAAAATGCAAAAAAGGAAGACAAAAATTAAATATATATACATGATGAGAATGCTTAGGATATACCCAATATATAATTCATAAGAACATACAAAAAGCAAGAAATAAACAAGTTAGTGAAGATTTATATATTAACATAAAAAAAAAAAGAGAAATGAAATAGCAATATATATATAAATTAGAGATATGAAAATAGGAAAAGAGTAAAACAAATAGAAGTAGATAATAAAAGAAGGAAAGGGAAGAATAGGAGGAAATACGGATGAGGTGATGAAAGGAGAAATTAGGAGAAAGGAAAGAAACAAAAAAAAAAATAAAGTA